AAACTAGAATATGGGTCCATTATATGAAATTCCATATACCATCAATACACATCAGCAATTGATAGAGTTCAAAAGAAGTTTTTAAAATTTCTTACTTTTAGAATGACCGGAACTTATCCTCCAAGAAACTGTGATTACCCTGATCTGCTATGCAGATTTGACTTTGTAGCCTTAGAAAAAAGAAGAAATCAGGCATCTGTTTTATTTCTATATAAGCTATTGAATGGCAAATTGGATTGTCCTGTACTATTATCAGAAATTGATATCTTTGTTCCAAGAATATCTTCTAGGCACATCAATACTTTTTTATGCAAAAGGGCACAAACTAGCTTAATGTTGAAATCACCAATCAATCTGATGTGTCGTAATGCGAACAAGCTCTCTACTAACATCGATATTTTTTGTTGCAGTATTTGTGAAATCAAAAATAAGTCTCGTGCGTACCTATAAGTCATTTATGTTTTTAATATCAAATAGTATTGATCTTATATCAAATACTATCAATTCTTCAAGTATGTTAGTTTTGCTCTGTAAATGGGAAACTGTTGGGCAATAAACGCTATTATTATTAAGTATCGGCCAGTTCTATTCAATACATGACCATGTTTATATGCATCTACAGTTATTGTTCATCATACATAATGATAAGATTTCATATTCCAAAAGTCATATTGTGATTCAATTCATTTTTAAACATCAAATGAATTCAGTACCTCTGCAAATGGGAAACTGTTGGGCTATAAACGCTATTATTATTATTATTAAGTATCGGCCAGTTCTATTCAATATATGACCATGTTTATATGCATCTATAGTTATTGTTCATCATATATAATGATAAGATTTCATATTCCAATAGTCATATTGTTATTTAATTCATTTTGAAACATCAAATGAATTCAGTACCTCTGCAAACGTCACATAGTTTATTTTTTTTCTCCACAGATTGTTAGCTCCCGATATTCGAGTCAGACTCGGAGAGTATGACTTCAGTAAATCCGGCGAATCCCAGTCAAGGGACTACCAAGTCGCAGAAATAATTGAACACGAGAACTTCGTCTTGGCCACCTACGATAACGACATAGCTATCATAAGGCTGCAAAATCCGACAAGTTTCAACTCGTACATTTGGCCCATTTGCTTACCCGCTCCTGGTCGTGAGTACGTCAATGAAACTGCCATCGTCGCTGGCTGGGGTCAGATATACTACGCGGGACCTCTGAGTGGGGTTCTACAACGCGTTTCGGTTCCCGTTTGGCCACATCAGACGTGCGTGGACTCGTTCGTGCAGAGAATCACGAACGATAATTTATGTGCGGCTGGATATGAGGGGGGAAAAGATTCCTGTCTGGTGAGTATTGTACTACCATCTCCAAAGTTATTCAAGGTCTTTTAATTGTATTCATTACAAATTCATAGAAGTGTCAAGACTTTTTTTCAGGTTTATTGGATGTGGTCATCAAGTTTGTATATATGATGTTTCGTCTTCCACTGCGGTAGATATTATCAAACGAAGCGAGTCCTGCTTCCGTTGCCTGTTTCCCTTCAATAACGTGTAATTGTAAACCAAAAAATATGATGGTGGCGGCTAATAAACTGAAAAAATACTCCAACACAGACAGCATACCTCCATTATTTATAATTTTGATTCAATGCTGAAAATAGGGCTCCGCGCTCCTGTTTTACCACAGAGAACATGAAATGTTCATTTGGAATTTTGTAAAAAATATGACTCATTCAAATCATTTCAAAAATTNTTTAGAATGAAAAAATGATGGAAGACTTCAAAACAAAAAACCTTCAAGAATTCATCAATTGGATTCCTTTTATAGATATGTTGGTATTTGCTGTCCAGATGATATAGCTAGCGCAGGAGTGGCAGGATCTCAGCTGGTCAAAGACTTACCAGCAGGAGGAAATGATTATGATGAGGATGAGAAGTATACAGGTACATATTTTTCAACTTTTTTCCCAGAAATAAAGGGTCAGATTTCTACATGAAGACTTCTTTGAGTCGAAAAATTAAATGAAAAAAAGTCCAGTCTATGAACGGTCATAAATATTGTTATTGAGAATTTCATAGTCAAATTAGTAGGTCTGACCAAAACATTGATTGGCGATTTTTTTATGTTGGTACACTAAACTTGAACATATATTCACAGTTTTAGCTGTTTGGCATTTTCATTTTGTTGGTGAGAGGCATAAAAGTTAGAAGTGTTTTGTGTGTTCGTCAATTTTCTGCTCTCAAAAGAAATGGATCAAAGAATTTGTATCAAGTTTTGTGTGAAGAATGGAATGAGGTGCTCAAAAAATATTCGAACTGTTGCCAGTGACACACGGTGATTGCACTCAGAAAAATGTTTACATGTGACACAAGCTTTTCACAGAAGGTCGAAAATGATTGAAGTTGAATTCCAATACCGAACCGTTATTTTTAACACTTCGACACGTGTTTCAATCATCTTCAAGAGAAATATCGATCTTCCTCTTGGTGTTGGGATAGAACTGTAGTAAACCTAAGGTTTCAAACAGTGCATCACAAGTAATATGCAACTTCACCACAGTGTTTGAAATACTTATATCTTCATTTGAGCAATCAAATTACACCACTTCAACATGGTTTTATGAAAGGTCGCTCGACAATCAGCAACCTTTTCAATGTTACCCAATATATCTCTGAAACCATTGATAGGAGATCCCAAACTGATGTCATATATACGGACTTCTCTAAGGCGTTTGACAGACTTGATCACGGATTACTGCTGTCGAAATTGTACAGGTATGGCTTTTTTCTGACCCTGACCCAACTTTGTATATTATACTTCACTGAGAGGCGTCAGTAACTTCAGTAGCATCAAGTCCGTGGAATATGCAGCTATCTCGGGTGTTCCACAAGGAAGCAACCTAGGTCCACTTCTCTTTAACGCCTTCATAAACAACATAGTTGAGGTCATTGATATCAACTGTTTGATATACGCAAATGACCTGAAATTATATTGTGAGATCAATGGCATAAAGGACTATCTTGAATTCTCCCTCAATCTGAAACATATTGAGCAATGTTGTTTTCGCAATAATCTTCCTCTACACGCTAGTAAATGTAATGTAATGACGTTCACACTGAAAAATCGGCTATTTTCATATCAATATTTAATAAATGATATTTCACTTTAACGACCTCTCACATTCACCGATTTAGGTGGTACCTTCGACACAAAACTTTCCTTCGTATCGCACACTGAAGCCACTCTGTCTGCTGCAAACAGTATGTATGGATTTATTGCACAAATCTCCAGAGCTTTCTGGGATCTATCTACATCGAAAACCTTATACCATGCTTTCGTCAGATAAAAATTGGAATATGCATCCATAATCTGGAATCCACCTCATCAGTTGTATACAGAGAAAGTTGAATCAGTACAAAGCCGTTTCCTAAGACTTATCTCCTAGTTGCATTTCCCCATGATGCAGTATTAGCTAGACATGCTATGAATAGCTTGTGTTGCCGTCGTGATTGTCACCACAATTTTTCTATGTATACTGATGAATAATTTAATTATTGACGCACATATTCTGCAAGAACTGAATTTCAATGTACCTAGATCAACCTCTAGAGTTGTTGATCCTTTTTATCTGCCAACATTACGTACCAATATTCTGAAACGTTCACCTCAAATGCAATTCTGCAAGTTGTCAACTCGGCATTTTTTACTGTTCCATCTCTGAGATTGGGTCTTTTTACTTCAGCTAAGTCGATATGTATTGTTTTTATCTTATGACTTATTGTAATTGTATTGTATTGTGATTTGACTTATATCCCTGTTCTGTAGTTAGGTGTAACCTGTAGAACAGTTCATAAATAAATATAGATGATGTTCATGGCTACTCATACTTCGGTAACCAAGTTAGCATTTTCAAGAGGAAGATCAGAAAATTTGATCTTGCTCTTGGTCATCAAAACACGTGTCTATGTGTTATTAACGCTTTGTTGTTGGAGAAAAACTCTAGTAATATTTATTACTACACCAAAGGTTCCAAACAGTGTATCACAAGACTATTCAAACATTATCAGATGAAAACAACAATGTGAAACGGAAACTTTAACTACCTGTTCTGTCTTCATCAAAAGGCATTCAAATATACCAAGCATTTCAAACGAGCTGAATCCTTTCAATATCAGATTGCTTGAATTTTCATTCTTCGAATCTCAATATTTCATACAAATAAGAATAAATTTTTTCAAAAGTTTATTCTAGAAATGAATATGAAATGAAATGTGTCTCATCAAATTGTTATTCTACAGAGTTTCTGAAAAAATAGTGCACACCACACATCAGAAAATTGTTTTTTCAGACTCGCTGACTTCGAGGAGATTATCAATTCGACATGTATGTATGTATCATTGTAACTGCATTAGTTTGATATACAGTGTGACTCACTTAAGATGTAGACAGACACCCCTGTATTTTAGTAATTTTTTTGAAAGCAAATATTTGATTTTTGGTACAGGCGTAGACCTTCATGGGCCACTCTTTCGCAATACTTAACCTGAGTGACAGCCTTAATCCTAGCCTACTGCGAAAAGAGCAAATTTTCGTTATTTTGTTTCATGAATTCGTTATGATGTAATGGTAACGGAAAACGAAATTATTATTCATCTATCAAACCTAAAAAATAAATGTTCCTCGAGCCCAAATAAACTCTCTGTGAAAACAGAAAAGTAAACATGAATATATAATACACTCATTAATCCATAAAATCAGTTTATGTCTTACAAACAATGGAAAGAATCTAGAGCAAACAGTCGAGGCCCTGAATAAATCATCGAAATGCATAGCAGTTTTTCTAGACCTCGCTAAGGCCTTTGACACAGTATCACACGAAATTCTACCAAACAAATGGAGTCACTACGGCATTCGTGGTCTCCCACAAATTATTATGTCCAATTATTCAACAAATAGAGTCCATACAGTGAAAATTGGGAATGAGGTAAGTTTGGAGTCAGTAGTGAAAATCGGGGTGCCTCATGGAACAGTGTTGGTCCCAATAATGTTTCTTGCAAACATGAACAGTATATCAAAAATAGATGGTCTAGGACACCTTATTTGTTATGCTGACGACACAGCCTTGATCTGCGCAGGAAAGAATTGGGAGGATGTTAAACACATCACCGAAGCAAATTCACAGAATATATATATATATGCATGGTTGAATTTAAATAAGCTCACTCTGAATATTGATAGCACTAAATTTGGTCATTAGTCAACCACATCATTTATCTCTGAAACTACACTCTATAAATTATCAAAAAAATGTATGTGGGTGTTCTACTATTGAAAAAGTATCATCAATTAAATATTTAAGGGTAGTCCTAGACCAACCATGGTCTAACGATGGTCTGATCATATCATGCATGTGAACAAACGCCTTAGAACACTTGTACACAGTTTTTATTCTCTAAAAGACATCCGCTCCAGAAAAAACCTCATGATGCTCTACAACTCCCTAGTCGAATCAATTTTGTCTTACTGCATCACAATACGGGGTGGAGCTCTCAACAACATACTGAACATTATAAAAACAACACAAAACACACTATTGAAAATCATCCTGGAAAAAAATAAACGTTTTTTCACCGATAAGCTATATCAAAAAGCAATAACATACGAATATTTTCCCTGATACTACCAAAAATCCCAACGCTCGTATCACGCAAATCTCCCCCATGAAGTTCCATAACGAACATGCGGAATACAGCCGCTTGCACCCTCACAAACGAGACTAATTCCATTCATTGAATAAGTATAGACAACGTGGCCATATGGGCCTAAACTCCATTAATGATATTACTCATAATTTAGTTACGACCGAATCACGAGACAGTTACGTTGATGCTATAAATAATATCCAGAGTGCCTGGCTGATAAACGTCAAAACGTAATAATCAATACGGGAATGTTGTAGTCCTGTGGAAAATCAGTTCTCCCGGTGGCCTTAACATGAAACATCTGCCAGGTAAGGCGAGAACACAAAAGGGTGTAAATGATGCTAGTAAACTTGATAGGACCCTGGGAAGGAAGAGAGCTTTTGTAGAGTTCGTCAGTTGCTTGAAGGAAACTAAACGACCTTTGTCGAGTGAAGATGTGAGGGAGTTGATCAGGTACACGTTTCAAGGAGAAGATTTGATGTACAAAGGAAGTGGATCCTGATTTGAAAGACGGATAATGACAGTGTTTTTGTGTGTGCGGGCCTTTTGCTTGAATAATGCGGGATAGATTTGTGTTAGGATGTTTTTGTAAGTACTCTGTAGTAAACGATTCTATAACTGAAGCCGTCTTCTTATTTTATCCATAGAAATGAAGTTATTTACTAAGAACAGTTTTATTTTAATGATTTTGGCCCGGTCAGCTGAGAAAATTGACAGTAGCATCTAGGAAGCGAGTCGTCAATTGAATGAAATTGCCAATTCAGTCTAGTTTGTAAGTTGAAAATGAAAAGTATAGAGGTGAAAGTCGGAGTTATATGTACGATGGCTGTTTCGATTTGGAATGAAAACGTGCTGAAACCGCTTTGCAAGAGATAAATGCAAATGTTATAAAAAAATTAGGATGAAAAAAAGGTATTTGGATTT